ACCTGCCTCTGGATAGGGACCTGCCTCTGAGACCGGACCTGCCTCTGAGACAGGACCTGCCTCTGAGACAGGACCTGCCTCTGAGTCAGGACCTACCTCCGAGCTAGGACCTGCCTCTGAGACAGGACCTGCCTCTGAGACGGACCTGCCTGTGAGACAGGACCTGCCTCTGGATAGGGACCTGCCTCTGAGACCGGACCTGCCTCTGAGACAGGACCTGCCTCTGAGTCAGGACCTACCTCCGAGACCCGACCTACCTACTAGCAGGACCTGCCTCCTGGTCAGGACCTGCCTCCGGGTCGTCAAACGTAACGGCTTGTCGCATTTTGTAGATGTGCCACCAGCTTTGTCCCATCCTGATGGAGAGAGAAGACAGAAAAAACAGGCCATTAGTGATGCACTTATTTAAACAGCAAACAATTGGAGCATGATTCAGAGATGAAGGTTGACTTCCAGGCTGGATATCAATGAAACCTTCTGAACTTCCAGGTTGATGGGTCTGAAACTCTTCTCCCAAATGAGTAAGAGGTGGAGCAGGGAGGAGAACTGGCAGCAGCTGCAGGACTACATCATCTTCTGGATCAAACATAAGCTAGTGTTAAAATGTTGCAGTAACTAAAAAGCATGAAAACACGTTAGAGAACATTTCTTCTGAGCTTCAATACCATGAGGGAGCAGACTCATGTTCTTGGCCATACAGAAGGTCTTCATTGAGAACAATGAGTTTTGCTCAATTCTCCTGAAGATCCTGGATGTAAAATTACAAAATCTATCAGAAAAGACAAAATCACAAATCAAACTTTAAGAATGACTGAATTCAATCTTATAGTTGTCTCCACTGCAAATAACTTGTAATTCGCCAGCAATTTCAAATGTTCAGAGTAATTTTATGTTCCTAAAAAATAAAGCACTTAATAAAATAAAATGACACATATAATTTAATTTATAAGTAAAACTTAACTTAAACACTAACTTAGTGCTGAATAACTTTCAGCACCAACTTTAAATAAATGTTTTTGTAATTAATAGTAACAATAACAATAAAATTAGCAATCATGAACACTAGATATTGTCTTATTTTTGCTTTTTACACATTGCCAAAAACCAGCGGGAAACGGTGGTTCTTTCTGCTTAACGAGCCGCTCTGCCCTGACAGAGCGGGCGAGACGAGCCAGGGGCTGCAGGGGAGCGGATAAGTCTGTTTCTAATTAAACTATATGTCGCGGCCACTCGGATTGAACAGCCAGACGCAGGGAGTTTCAAACGGGTGCAGTTTAATCTCGACCTTTCTTTTCATCGACACCGTGAAAACTGTAGTATAAAATAGGGGAACGCGGACACACTGCGTTTTTGACCATTCCTGGCAGTGCTCTACAATTTTCCACTCTGACAAAAACCTCTTGCCGATAGCCCTCAATCTCCATGCGCACGGCAGAACTAGGCGTCAATAGCTGTCGAAAATCTCACTTTTCATGCAGTGTCAGCTTGGTACATGTCTCTAAACCTCCAGAGTAAATTTACTTCAACTGATTCAGTTCTACTTTAGTTTTAGTCGAGATGCAGATTTAACAGTCGGAGGCATATCTTTTG